GTTATTATAACACTTCTCTTTTAAAATATTATTTTTATAAATTAAATTTTAACATTTAAAATAAATTATTAATTAAATTAATATATTTATTCATCTTAAATGTAAGATATAAAATTCAAAAAATGTATTTATCCTTATTTTATTTTCTAATTATCAACTATTAATAAAATACTAATTTAAAATTTAAATATAAAAATTCATTTAAAAATAAAGTTATCATAAGTTAGAATATATATTATAAATATGGATCAAAATAAATAAGAAATTTTAAAATTCATATACTCTAATTAAAAAATTGCCTAAAAATCCAATCATAAAAAAAAACCTCTAAATATTTTTTCACATAAATAACTATTGGAATTAATTATGTAGGAGTGCATATAAATATTTTTTTAATATAAATTAATGTCTTGCTCTTACGAGAAAAAAAAAGAAAATGGGTTGATACTCAACAAAAATATTATCATCACTTTTAAGCAATTTATAAATTTTTTTAAGTTTTACTTCGTGACCGAATAGAATTTCGTCACTAACTTTAACTAATATTTAGCTACCGAATAGAATTCCGTTGCTAATTTTAACTAATATTTAGCAACCGAATAGAATTACATCGCTAATTGTAACTAATATTTAGCGATTGAATTTAATTCTGTCGCTAAAAAAATCAAAATTTTTGATTTAGAGACCAAATTCAATTCCGTCACTAATTTTAACTAATATTTAGCGACCGAATTAAATTCTACCGCTAAAAAAATCAAAATTTTTGATTTAGCGACCGAATTAAATTCCGTCGCTAAATTTAACTACTATTTAGCGACCGAATTCAATTCCGTCGCTAATTTTAGTGACAGAATTCAATTTCGTTGCTAAAAAATCAAAATTTCTAATTTAGCGACCGAAATAGCGACCGAATTCAATTTCGTCGCTAGTTTTAACTATTATTTAGCGACCGAATTAAATTTCGTCGCTAAAAAAATCAAAATTTATAATTTAGTAACCGAATTCAATTCCGTTGCTAATTTTAACTATTATTTAGCGACCGAATTAAATTCCGTTGCTAAAAAATCAAAATTTATAATTTAGCGACCTAAATAGCAACCGAATTCAATTCTGTCGCTAAATTTAACTACTATTTAACGACCAAATTCAATTTCGTCGCTAATTTGAACTAATATTTAGCGACCGAATTAAATTTCGTCGCTAAAAAAAATCAAAATTTATAATTTAGTGGAAATAGAGTCTAAATTTAATTCTGTCGCTAAAAAAAATTATAATTTATAATTTAGCGATCGAAATAGCGACCAAATTTAATTCCGTCGCTAAAAAATCAAAACTTTTTATTTAACGACCGAAATAGTGACCAATTTGCTAGCGACAACTTATTTTGATATAGCTATTTTGATTTTTCATAATTAGTCGCTAAATCAGTCGCTAAATAATAACTAATAAATTTCGATCACTAATTTTGCAATTTTCTAGTAGTGGTTACTTAATGTAGTAGAAGTGAAACTAAATTATTAGAGAGCGGAGTGATTATAGACTCAGGTGTATAGATAAAGTGATTCTAAGAAATATGAAAATAAAGTGATTTGAGAGATTTGACCGCGAGATTCTAAGAAAGGTTTATTGTTATATGTATTTTAAAACATATTTTAGCATAAAATATTATATGCATCACTTTACTCATAACTTAATGGCAATGGCAAACTATCAAATGAATAAAATGACACTTCTTTTTCTGTTATGAGGAGCGGGTACTGATCACTGATCACTGATCAACTTGCCTTTTACGTTAGAAAGAAAAAAAGGAGCCCACAACCCAAAAGTTGCATACGGACACAACACACCACATGGGAAAACC